GATCTACCATATGATCCAGCAATAACACTCTTGGGGATATACCCAAAAGACTGTGACACAGGTTACTCCAGAGGCACCTGCACACCCATGTTTATTGCAGCACTATTCACAATAGCCAAGTTATGGAAACAGCCAAGATGCCCCACCACTGACGAATGGATTAAGAAAATGTGGTATCTATACACAATGGAATTTTATGCAGCCATGAAGAAGAATGAAATGTTATCATTCACTGGTAAATGGATGGAATTGGAGAACATCATTCTGAGTGAGGTTAGCCTGGCCCAAAAGACCAAAAATTGTATGTTCTCCCTCATATGTGGACATTAGATCAAGGGCAAACACAACAAGGGGATTGGACTTTGAGCACATGATAAAAGCTTTAGCACACAAGGGAGGGGTGAGGATAGGTAAGACACCTAAAAAATTAGTTAGCATTTGTTGCCCTTAACGCAGAGAAACTAAAGCAGATACCTTAAAAGCAACTGAGGCCAATAGGAAAAGGGGACCAAGAACTAGAGAAAAGGTTAGATCAAAAAGAATTAACCTAGAAGGTAACACACATGCACAGGAAATCAATGTGAGTCAACTCCCTGTGTAGCTATCCTTATCTCAACCAGCAAAAACCCTTGTTCCTTCCTATTATTGCTTATACTCTCTCTACAACAAAATTAGAAATAAGGGCAAAATAGTTTCTGCTGGGTATCGAGGGGGTGGGGGGGAGAGGGAGGGAGCAGAGTGGGTGGTAAGGGAGGGGGTGGGGGCAGGGGGGAGAAATGAACCAAGCCTTGTTTGCACATATGAATAATAATAAAAAAATAGCCACCACTGTTGGCCTCCCAGAACGACACATTCAGTATAAGTACATGCCAAGTCTCAGAAGCAGTGGTTCCCAGACTATAGTATGCACCCTCATTGCCTAGGTGAGGGTGGGAAGCTGTAGAACTGTGTTTCCCCTGGTCCCTTCAGATAATCTATGCAGTGGGTTCATGGGAGAGCTGAAGATAGGTGTCCTTTCAGCAAACATGCTCAGTGATGGAGAAGCACTTTGAAAAACCCTATCCTAAAGGCTTGTTCTTAACACAAATATATAAAGTGTCGGTACATTTAAAAGGAAAATGGCAGCCCACACCTGAGACTCTACCGCTTAGGAGGCAAAAGCAGGACAATCTTAAGTTTGAGGCCAGACTGCACTACATAGTAAGATCCTGTCTCAAAAAAATAAAAAGCACAATCTCTGAAGAAAGAGAAAAAGCATGCATTGAAAAGTTTGTTCTGGAATTTTAAAAAGAAAAGATAAAATCTTTAGGCAGATTATAATTTTTTTTTGGTTTTTTTGTTTGTTTTTTAAATCTAACTGATCAAGCACAGAAGACAGCAAGGCAAGTTCTTATCAAAGACTTCATTCAAAACACCCAACTCCAACTGGAGTCAGTAGGGATTCCACCCAATCTCCCCTCAAATTCTCCACAGCACTCACACACTCACTGAAGGATGCTAGGCACACTTTCAAACCATCAAGTAGTTAAATAAAACATCATGCTCTATTACAAGAAACTGACTTGATGAACATAGAAATCGCTTCTGGCTTCACTGTGTTATGAATTGCAGATGCTCATATGTAGCAGAGCAAGAAAGTGGACTCTGAATGGCTTTCAGTTATCAAAGATGAAACATGGGATGGGCTAACTCTATGAACCAGAAGTAAGTCCCCAAGTCACCAGAACACCATACTCTCTAGCATTCTGCTGGAGTAGATTTCATTCCACACATGTGTGCAGTAGAATAACTGAGCAAGCAGGCAGCCTAGGAACCACTCCTATGCTGGGATCTTGTGTGCACTGGCGGGAGGATGTCTCTGCCCCCTGTCCCCAGGACAAATGGTAGGGAGATGTGTGACAAATGTTTTCACCTGTAAGATAAATGACTTTGCATCCATCTTATGGAACGCCATACATTGGGTAAAAATGATGACCTACATCTGCCTTTACGAATAAGTAGATCACAGAAATATGTTAACTGTGTGCCTCTATCACATTCATGGAACTATTAACCAAAAGGAGTTAACTTGACCATGTGTGCATTATATCTCTGAAAGAGAAGACTCTAAAATGATATCCATAGAGGGATCCACTTTGTACAACTGTGTGTGTGTGTGTGTGTGTGTGTGTGTGTTTGAATATCACATCAGAAACACTCCACACCCAATGTTAGGGAGGCTACCTCTATTTCAATTTCAGTGTAATTCTGTTTTTCTCTTTTTCTTAGCTTTCTGCAATTCTCCTGGAATGAATAGGTACTGTGTTAATATTTTAAACTTTGAACAGAGAAGCACAAAAGACTATTTTTTGTTTCTTGAACAATGGGTTTGGAATAAAGAAAATAAAAGAGAGCTGTTCCTCACCCTGTGTGGTGCGTCATGGAATTGGTGACAAGACATTGATCATTCAAAAAGCCCATAACAGGAGTTCAGTAAATATGGGTTGAAGGAGTGAGTGAGTGTAGTGGGTCATTTTACCACACGTCACTAGCGTAGTAATGAAACACCACTCTTATTTTAGACCCAATACTTCAGCAATACATGCTCGTCAGTATTTTTAATCTCTGTTGGAGTGACAGCCAACTAATTGCTTTCAAACCAGTTACCACTCACTCAAATCTGAGCTCTTTCATTTTCATTTCCTCCTCTTACCCTCACCCCAATCTCCTCTCTTATTAACATAGATAGGGAAATAAACACCCACCAATGCCTTGCTACTACATAATTGTTAGAAAGACATCTTAGGTGAGTGAAGCTGAAAGCAGAAAAAAAAGGAAAAAAGAAGAGCCAGTAATTTTCCATAGACCTGGCAGCCTTCTTTGTTGAGAAATGGCAGGAAAAAAAAAACAGCCATGAGACCAGGTGTCTGCCTTTGAAGACACTGATCACTTTGTGTGGAAAATGGTCTGAACCTGGTGAAAACAGCCAGCTGGACAGGCAGCCTGGGGCTAGTTCCTGCTCTTAAGTACAAAGAGTTGTATGTGGGGGCGGGGTGAGTGGTATGGCATATGTGTGGTGGGTGTGTAGGATGTGTGTGTGCGTGTGTGTGTGTGTGTGTGTGCGTGTGTGTGTGTGTGTGTGTGTGTATAGTACATAGCTGTGTATGTACCGTGTGTGGTGTGTGATTGTATGCTCATGGTATGGCATGTAAGTGGGTGTGTTGTATATGTAGTGTGTGTGGTGTGTATGTGTATGGATGTGGTATATATGGAGGAGGGGCATGTGTGTGGTATGTGAGTGGATGTGGGTATGGTGTGTTTGTGTGTGTGTGTTAGACACTATGTAGGTATGATCAAGATCACATATTTGATTGGATGGGATTTTAGACCTACCCCAGAAGGATCTGGAGCACATCAAAATTTGAAGGATACTTAATGCAGTGTGATTTGATCAGTTCTAGATCTTTCTAACAACTGCCAACATATCATAGACAATTTAGACCCACTAAGATCTATAGCTCACTGGCTCTAGACCACTCACTGTGCCACTGAGGTTGCTGAGGCCCAGTGCATGCAAGAGGACTACCCCATGTCATGTAGCACTGTCAATTGGAATAGTGAATTGCCCTTTGGGGACAGTGTCCCTGTGTTTTCTAATAGTCGGGAACATTCCCCTCCCAACAATGCATTTCCCTCTGAGGCCTTCAGCAATCGCATTTCTCATTGTTCAACATTAAAACCACTGTGGAGATGTAACCATCTGAGGCCCAAAGTCCTGGCGGGTGCCATTTGATAAGTGAGGGCACTATCTGTAAAGAAAAGCCTCCTCATCAAAGGCATGCCAATGGCAAGCAAGAGGACTGAACAACCATGACTGGGTCCTGCTGTGCACCAACCAGGCAGTTCCTCTCTCTTACCCTCGGCCAGACTGTGCACACTCACAGCCTCCTTCAGCATCCCACCCTTAGCTGGTGACCTGCCCAGGCCCATCTCCCAGGCACCTGTAGTTCTCACCATACCATTCTCTCCCACGCCTTTATACCTGTGCACCTGCTGTGTCCTCAGCCATGTGTGCTGCTTTCCCACGTAAGCAAAGAGCCTATCCATGAAAATTCAGCTGTCACCTTCCAAGAGGACCTGAACCTTCCCCACTTGGCAGAGTTGGCACCTCTTCCCCCTCTAGTGTGCCTCTCCAACACAGCCTTTGCTGTGGATTGACTGATGTCATTTTGCTTGTCTGGCTCCCCACTAAGGTGGGAGATCCTCAAAGGAAGGCTTCAGCAGACTCATCCCTTACATCCAAGTCTTAGTCCTGCAGAAATGTTAGCTACCCACAGATAGACACATAAGTGGACTTCAGACACTTTATACGTGTATTTGTTAATCTATTACCAATGACAAACTGATATAAATTCAGCACTTAAAATGGCACATATAGATTACCTTGCAGTTTCTGTGAGTCACAGCTTAACTGAGTCCTCTCCCATGGATGTCACAAAACTAAAATCCAGATGTACTATACACAACCCTTTTCTATCCAGAGAGTCAAGTGGGGAAGAATTGTGTTCAAACTCATTTGCATTTTTATTTTGTTTTATTTTATCATTTTTACATCATTTGCATTGTTAACAGATTCATTTGCTTAAAGTTGTAGCAGTGAGGACCCAGCTTCTTGCTAGGCATCAGCCAGAGGCCACCCTCCGCTCATTGGCATGAGAGATTCCTAACTGGTTTCTTACTTCATCAGCCAAAGCAAGGAGAGTCTCCAGAGCACATCTGCTAGCAAGGTCAAGTCCTGAGAAACGAAACATAATTACTGACATGACTCCCATTCACCACCGTCATGTTGGTGATTAGGACGAAAGGGTTGGGTACAACCCATGTCAAGAGACATGAAGGTGAGACTCATGGGGCCATGCTAGAGGCTGCCTGGGCCACCACAGAAAGAATGTAGTGAAGCTTGCTGGTCAGTTCTTTGCTTTGTGTAAATTCCCTTCTCTTCCTTTGGTTCCATCTTGCAGGTGGCTTCATTGCTGTTAGCAGATCGTTTCTGGAAGAAATTGCAGCTCCAGCAGCCCCAGGTCCTGGGAAAGGAGAATCCATTCAATCCCCAGATTGAAAAGGTGTTTGGAGACCAAGGGGGGCACTGAGTATCTCCACAACACTTGCCCCTGGGGAGCCCCGAGAGGCAGAAACATGGATGAACTCATCCAACAACCCGTTGCCTGTGCTGTGTCATAGGCCGGAATGAACCTGTTCAGTAGCTTCTTTGCAAAATACTTTCCTCTCAATAAGAGTGTACCTGGATAATGCTGTGTGCTTTTGGGATCAATTCTCTTCCACCTGCCCCTGAAACAACCTTTAATCATGTGCTGTGGGATCACCCCGAATGAGGTAGTATCCTGTAAAGGGCTCCTAGAAACGCATTAATCACCCAGCAATGTTCAGCAATTTTCACAGGGTCTTGGTGTGCCAAAGACTGACCTTTCCTCCCCTTCCCGACTTAAAGATGCTGGCAAGCTGAGGCTCCTCAGCTTGGCTTTCAAGGACCTCCCCCAAGTAGATTTTATTGGGTTCTTTTTAAAATCAGAACATAAAGCCATAAATACAAAATTGGATTCTATCTTGAATGCTTATTTAGAAGGAGAAAAGAGGGCTGGCGGAGCGGCTCAAGTGGTAAGAGTGCCTGCCTAGCAAGTATGAGGTTATGAGTTCAAACCTCAGTACCATCAAAAAAAAAAAGAAGGAAAAAAGAAATCATAGTAAATTATATACCTTTATGCACAATAAGCCCCATGAAATCCATACAACTGACCACTTTTTTCTTTAAAAGCTCTTCCTCCTGGGTATACAGGTGGTAAACACCTGTAATCCCAGCAATTAGGAGGCTGAGGGATGAGGATCACAAGTTTGAGACTAACCTGGGCTATAGTGAGACCCTGACTCAAAAAGGGAAAAAATCTTTTTAAAATATTCTTTACCTTCATAATCTGATTGCCTCTTCCTTATAACACTGATTTGTGATATCATTGTCTATAGAAAGTAATCAAAATAAAATTAGTTGCTTGTTATTGATAGCTTTAAAAGAATCCTTCAGCTGCACAAATCAATATTAGTAAGGCTGTATAAATTTTCAGGACTGCTGTCACAGTGGGCAGACCTGTATCACTTCCTTTGGAAGTGAGCTATTACAGACTCACTCTGTATTTGTATGACAGTCAGTCCTTAGTATCTGTGTGTTCTTTATCTGCAGATTCATTCAACCATGGATCAAAGATATTCAGAAAAAATTGCTTCTGTATTAACATGTGCAGACTATTTTCCTTACCATTATTCCCTAAACAATACAGTATATCAACTTTTGCATAGCACTTACTTTGTACATTTTTAAGTGCTACATTTTGGATCTCCAATATCTCCCAAAAGTCTTCTTCAGCTTGGTGCTACTGGGAGGTGGTGGAAACTAAAAAGTGGGGTCTAGTGGGAGGTTTTAGGTCATCAAGGGTGTGCCCTCAAACAGGGTTATGGGATCCCAGCCGCCTCTTCTTCCTCGCTTTTGCACCTGGCCATGAGGTGAACGGGGCTTCTCCCGCACCATGATGTAGTGCAGCCACATGCCCAAAGAACAGAGCCAATCAGTCATGGACTGAAATCTCCCAACCTGTGAGCCAAAATGAACTTTTTTCTTATTAACTTGACTATCTCAGGCACTTGTTAGTGATGAGAAACTGACGAACACAATTAAGAAATCTAAAGATGATTTAAAGTGTTTTGGGAGGACATGCGTATGGCATATGAAAATGCTACACCATTTTATATTAGGGACTTGAGCATCCTCAGAATCTGGTATGTGCCCATGTCCTGGAAACATCTCCCACAGATACTGAGGGACACTTGTACTGGTACAGGTTGGTGTCCATATATGCACAGGAATTCTGCTCAAGTCTACTTGAACACCAGCCCATCTGTGTGTCACCTCCCTCACCCACTTCTGAATGCAGCCACAAATTCAGTAGTCACTCTTTGTATGCCCAGGTCCACCTGTGCTGCCAGTACCTGCCTTCAGCAGGCAAACCTTTCTGCATTCTAGTCAGAACAGCTCACTTTACAGTCCAGAGGAGTGGGAGAATTAACCCCACAGGGGGAGCTGGGACCAAGGAGTGAAGGTAGCAGCCTCCCCTGTTAGCGGTCAGTCTGAGGGGGTACTCTGTGTGCTTCTCTGGGGACCCAGCTGGAGAGCCCCTTTTACTCACAGCAATGGCCACCTTAACATGTTTACACACCACAGCACTGCCTCCTCCTCACCTCACTCTCCTGATGGCCTCATCCTGCTCCCTGCGATTGCTTCTCATATCTTTGTCTCAATAAAGACAAAGTGAAAAGGACGGTGTGGATACAGATGCACAGTTGTCCCTGTACAACTGTATCTGCAGGGAATTGGTTCCAGGACCCTCTGTGGATACCAAAATCCCCAGATCTTAAATTCCCTATATAAATGGCATAACCTCTCCATATAAGCTATGCATGTTCTCCTGCATACCTCAAACCATCTCTTGATTACTTATAATATCTAATACAATATAAATTCTGTGTAAATAGTTGCTATTCTGTATGATTGTATTATTTAGGAAATGATGGCAAGAGAAAGTCTTTGTGTTCTTCACAGACACAATCATCATCGGCATAGCTACACAGTACCCAATCCACAGTTGGTTGAATCCATGGTTGGTTGAATCTGCAGGTGCAGAACCCATGGATGCCAAGGCCTGACTGTTCATGCTTTATCACTGAATATACTCCTGATAATAGTAAAAACTGGGCACCAATGCAAAGCAAACCTCCTATTCACCATGCACATCTGACGACTGGAAGCCATTTCTGCCAACTGGCTTCTGACGGTATATATCACACATCTCCTCCATATCCGCTGACTTTCATATTGTGATCTGCTTGCTGGCCCCACACCTTTGTCACGATGTTGGTGGACAATAGCTGCAAACTACATAGACATCAGCCTAAGCTGCCATAGTTTGCATCTTGAAAGTCCTCCAAGGTCCCTCATATTAGAGGCTAACCTGTAGAGTTATTAGATGGTAAAACTTTTAAGAGGTGTGGCCTACTGGGAGGAAGTTAGGTCATTAGGGTATACCATACAAGGGAATTGTGGGACCCCAGCTCCTTCCTCCTTCTTTTTGCTTCCCTGCTGCCATGGGGTAAACACACTTCCTCTGCCACACACTCTTGTGGCTATGATGTGCTGTGCCACCACAAGTCCACACAACAAGTGATCACAGGCTGAAACCTTTGAAGCCATGAGCCAAAATAAATCCTTCCTTCCTTTAAAGGTGATTAGCTCAGGTATTTTGTCACAGCAATGAAAAACTGACTAACACATAAACCCAACTTGTATGGAGCTCCATTTTAACTTCCCAAAATTCTTCAATGTCACCAGATAAAAGAGAAAGTATAACAGAGAGGAAGTATCTATCTTACTTTTGCAAATTTTGCTATGCATATAACTATGTGGACACATTTCTGGGGCCTTTCCTGGGGTTTTGGAAGGGATCCCAAGACTATTAGGTTTATGGAAGGGCTACCTCTACTCACAGGTAAATTTGCCAGGTTGTGTGTGAGCTTTGGTTTGTGGGAGCCAGTACACTTAAAATGTCAATCCATTCATTTCTGTCCCATGGGCAGCATTCTTCATGCAGCATAAACAGCACGTGTTCCCTGGAGACAGACCAACAAGGGGCACCAGCACATTGTCAGGAGGCTGACTCTGTATTAAGCAGGAGGTAAAAACAAGGAGAACAAATTGGAGAGTGAGAGGTTTAGAGGTGCTGGCTGTGGAAACCTCATGTGTCCACCTCCTGAGGATGTATCCTCTTGTAAGACATTGGTAATCATATAATTTCTTGAGGTGTTTCAGGATTTCATGTTATTTTAAAAACACTAAAATACCAACACTTATTATAATGTTGTTTTCTTTATTGTTTTTTAATCTGAAATCTTAATCATTTAGTCTCAATAAATTCAGAGAATGATACATTAAAACCATACATTTCTTTGGAAAGAATTCTACCCAATCCCACCCCAAATTCAGATGCTTTTGAGGTAACCTATCACTGTTCTAGATTCCTGTTTCTCTGAGTACTAACACCAGTTGGTAACTCTGTAGTGCTTTGCTGTTGCTGAAGGGGTAGAGAATTCTTTTAGGCTCTGATCATCTTCAGAAGGGCATGAAGGACTGAACTTATTTTAAAGTTGGGGGTAAGCCAAGGGGACTGAATAGAGAGATTCTGGGAACAAGGGAGATGCTCCCAGGCTAGACCACTTCTTTTTTTTTTTTTCCAGTGCTGGGGTTTGAACTCAGGACTTGTACCTTGAGCCACTTTACCAGCACTTTTTGTGATGGGTTTTTTTCGAGATAGGGACTTGACAACTAGTTGCCTGAGCTGGCTTCAAACCACGATCCTCCTGATCTCTGCTTCCTGAGTCACTAGAATTGCAGTCATGAGCCACTGTCACCTAGTTAGACCACTCCTTTTTGCCACATAGATATCATCTCTGTTCCTGGCACTTCCATCCACCACCGAGAGAAGCTGTTTAAATTCTCCTACTGCCAAACCACTATCCACCTTGGTAAATAATTGACCCATGTGGTAGTCAGCTTTCTGTCACAGTAACTTAAAGAGAAAAGGTTTATTTTGGCTTATGGTATGAGATTCCACTCCAAGAACAATCGGCCCTATTGCTTTAGGCCTGTGGCAGGGTATTACATCATTATAAGAACAACGGTAAAGCAAAACCACTCACCATGGCCAGGAAATAAAACAAAGGAAGAAGAAGAGATCATGTTCCCACAATCCTCTTCAGGGGCATACCACTAATCACCTAAAGTCTTTCCATTATGCCCCAACTTTTAAAGAGTCTATCACCTTCTAATGTGCCACCCTAGGCACCAATACTTTAACACATGGAACACTGGGGTCATTTTAAATCAAACTACAGAACACCAGTTCCATCTCCTGAACAGGCTCAGGTAGGAGGACAGAGGTGCCTGAGCCTGAGCCCTGACCACCACCACCAAGGAATTAAGGGGTACCAGAGGATGGTGACCCCAACCTACTTTTTTTGAATATAGAAATTTTATTCACTTTTAATTGCTTTTACATTTATTCATATGTGTATACATTGTTTGGGCCATCTGTCTCCCCATCCCCCATCAACTTACTTTTTGAGGAAAATACTAATACTGAATAAAATAAGTAGTAACTGCAATATTCTAATATTGTCACCACAAAAACTGGAGTTTGAGCTATGTTCTCCCTGGGTCAGAAGCCCATGGGTAAGGTACATCAACCTGTGTGCTCATTTTCTACACTATAGACCAACCCAGACGTGTTACTTCTTTGAGATTTGACCAACTTTTTCTTCATGGCTTGGGAATTTCCTGAATTTATAGATGCTTTGAGTGCTTCTGATAACTTCTGAGTACCTATAATTTACAGGATTACTATGGGGAACAGGTCCTTCCCCCTATTTCCATAAGGGTGCCTTTTGAACTGTGTTAAACCATAAGTTTTTCCAAATCATGGTGGGTGAGTGCTGACTCCTGACAGGTGCCCAAAGATCTTTCCTGGGTGGCATGCACCTCTCTCCATCCTGTTCTCTGGGAATTCTGGTAAGAAGA